AAAGGAAGCACAGGCAAGTGCTGGACAAGCTTGTTTTGTTCTTAAAATGCAACCAGATCCGCTGCTTTTTGTGCCAACGCATTCCTGGTAATCCCCATCTGGCTCCCATCTGTGCGCACGTCCTGCTGTCACATGGGGCTGCTGGTGCTGCTGCTGGGCGCTGGCCCTGGCCCAGCTCCAGGGCTGCTGCTCTGCCTGGGGGCTCAGTGGCCCTGCAGCCCCAGGCTCAGCTCGAGGATAGGGCAGCACTGGCTGCTGGTCCTGGTGCCACTTCCTTCACAGCAGCCTCAGCCTCAGCTCCCTGACTTGTAACCCACTTTGTGTGTTGATCCCAATGTGTCCAGTATTATTTTGGCTCTGGTATTTGGCTTAAAGAGCTTCTGCTGCAGCTGCATCACTCTCATCTCTCTCCACTTTATGGTGGCTGCTGATCATTAATGCATGAATCTGCCAGGCCCATCTCTGCTGTGCTGGCTGCTGGTGCTGAGCGGCGCTGGCCGGCTCTCCCTGATGGCAAATGCATCCCCTCAACCTTCTCTGCTCCTTTTGCAGGCTGTGGGCTGCACACTGCAGGAAGATCCAGCTGAAGAAAGGTAGTGTTGGCTGTGGCTGTGTCCTGGGAGGTTTGTGAGGGTTGAGTTCTCCAGCTCTGACTGCCACAGTGGGATGGCCATGTCCCGTTCGCCAGCCTGGCAGGTCCAGCAGCGTGGAGGGGGGTGCCTGCCCCTGGCCAGGCTCCTTGGGGTGCTGGGGGCATCATGGCTGTCCCAGTATCCACTGCATGTGCAGCAGGGTTTGCTGCAGCCAGGGGACGCTGAGGGCTGGTGTGCAGCCCTGCTGTGGACTGGGCTGTGGTCAGTGAGCACAGCCATGTGTGCCTGTGGGAGCTGAGTGCTGCCAGCCTCCCTGTCCAGTGCAGGCAAATGGGCAGCTTGCACCTTCTTGGCTCCAAAGCCCTGCCATTACTGCAACATGCAGCTTCCAATCTTGGCATTTCTCTTCTTGTTCCAGATAATTCACCAACCCAGGTGTACAACTACCAGCCCTGTGACCACCCCGAGCATCCCTGTGACAGCTCCTGCCCTTGCATCATGACTCAGAATTTCTGTGAGAAGTTCTGCCAGTGCAACCCTGACTGTAAGAAGAGGTCAAGGACTATTGGGCAGGAAGGCAGCCAGCTCTCCTGGCACAGAGCACAGGGAGAGTGCATAGCTGGGGCTTGCTACTTTATTCCTGCACTCACTGCTCTGCCCATCCACAGCAGTTCTGTTAGCAGCCTGCTAAAGTCCAAAAGGAAATGGTTCTGTGCTGCCATGCAGCTGTTGGCAGCTGAGAGACACTCCTGTTAGTTCTCATCCCTGTGTCTGTATTCTGTGGGTGCTGCTGCTGGTCTGTGAGCAGGATGTGCCTCAGGCAGTTTGGGTGGGCAGTTGGGTCACTGCTCTGCCATGTTTGTTTTTCCTGTCTGGGCTTCCATTCCCAGCTCTGCAATGGAGAAAACAGCCAGACTTTATTCTGTCCCTGCCCAAAGCCTGCCAGGGCAAGATCTGGCTGGGGAGGAGCAGTTTGGGCACAGACCCTGCATGGTCCCTGTGTTCTCTGCCAAACTTCACACTGCAAACCCGTGGTCTGTGTTGCTACAGGTCAGAACCGCTTCCCAGGCTGCCGCTGTAAGACCCAGTGCAACACCAAGCAGTGTCCCTGCTACCTGGCTGTGCGGGAGTGTGACCCAGACCTCTGCCTCACCTGTGGTGCTTCAGAGCACTGGGACTGCAAGGTGGTCTCCTGCAAGAACTGCAGCATCCAGCGAGGCCTCAAAAAGGTATTGACAGCAGTGTGGCAGGGGCTGCCTCAGGGCAGAGCTGACACACATCTGCTGCTGCTGCTGTTGGGGGGGAGCAATTTCCCTGCAGCTGCTGGAGTGCCAGAGTCTGGAAAAGAAGCTGCTCTGCCCTGGGCCTCTGTAGCACTTAGTCTGGCATAGGAATTGTGGATTTGAAAATCAGGAGATGAGGAATGGTGAGAGCAAGGAAGTGTATAAAGTGACTAGAGAAAGATTTAGTCTTGAATTCTGCTGGTCAGAGCAAGGCATTGCACATTAAAAAAAAAAGGGAAATTCAGAGAAAGTTGCAAATTAGTGTGTGTCAGGTCCTGTGCAGCTCCATGTAATGGTGTAAGTCTGTGTGGAGCTGTGTGTCACCATAACAAGGAGATGCTGGATGGACACTGGCTCCCCTCTGCCCCCATGATCTGTTTGCTGTGGTGCTGTATCTGCCAGCTGTGCTCATTTCCTTTCATTTTGGTTCCAGCATTTGTTGCTGGCCCCATCAGACGTGGCTGGCTGGGGGACTTTCATCAAGGAGGCTGTGCAGAAGAACGAGTTCATCTCTGAGTACTGCGGGGAGGTCAGTGCTGCTGGCCAGGCACACGGGGACTGCGTGTGCTGGGAGAGCTTCCTTTGACTGTGGGGCCAGCTGCCTTCCCTGGTCTGGCTGTGCCCATGGGCTCTCTCTGACCAGGCCTGGAGATGGAGCCTTGTGCTATCTGGGGACATGTCTCAGTACCTCTGGCCCTCCACTGTGGAGGGGCATGTTGTGTGTGTGCTGCTGCCTGAGAGCCCTGCTCTTGCCTCTGCCCCATCCCCAGGAACCCTGACAAGTTCCTGCCCATGAGGTGGGAGGGAGAGCAGGAGGCAGGCGAGCACTTGGCTCAGCCCTCAGCTACTGAGTCTCTCAAGGTGATCTCCCTCCACAGCTCATTTCACAGGATGAGGCTGACAGGCGAGGAAAGGTCTACGACAAGTACATGTCCAGCTTCCTCTTCAACCTCAACAATGGTAACTTCCTGAGGTTGCCAGGGGTGGAAAGGCCAGATCTGCTGGCCAGGTGGGCAGGCTCAGCCCACCTCTTCCCTGGGTGACAGGCCTGGCTTTACACCATGGTTTCTTCTTTTTTTTTCTTTTTAAATAGATTTTGTTGTTGACGCTACTCGCAAAGGAAATAAAATCCGCTTTGCCAACCACTCGGTGAACCCCAATTGCTATGCGAAAGGTGAGGTCCCCCTGCCCAGCTGGGCCAGGCAGGCCATGGTGCTGCAAGAGCTCCAGCCCAAGCTGGGGCTGCACATCTGATGTTGTATATCTCTGATGTTGTGTATCTCTGATGTTGTATATCTCTGGTGTATCTCTGATGTTGTGTATCTCTGGTGTATCTCTGATGTTGTGTATCTCTGATGTTGTATATCTCTGGTGTATCTCTGATGTTGTGTATCTCTGGTGTATCTCTGATGTTGTGTACCTCTGGTTGCAGTTGTGATGGTGAACGGAGACCATCGGATTGGTATCTTTGCCAAGAGAGCCATCCAGGCAGGAGAGGAGCTCTTCTTTGACTACAGGTACCTTGGCCAGTGGGGACCTTGGGCTGCAGGGTTGACCCCACCCTCTGGGCAGGTTTGTGGGGAGCATGGGAGGTCATTGCTGCAGCCACGACTTCCTATCCTGTAGGTACAGCCAGGCAGATGCCCTGAAGTATGTCGGCATAGAGAGGGAGACGGACATCATCTGAGCTCCGGGGTGGTTCTGGCACACCTTGCTGCTGCACCTTGTAAGCAATGCCATGTTTGCTTCACGCTGACATGACTGCTGCTGTTCCTGCTGCTGTGTGTGTCACAAGTGCTACTTTCCATCCAGACACCAGAGAGACTTGGGGCAGGCGTGTAAGCAGCCCCTGGGCCATGGCTGTCCCAGGGTGGTATCCCCTCTGCCCCAGCTGGCTGGGAAATGGGAACTGCCCGGCTGTGGCTGGAGTGGCACCAAGGGATGCCTGGGGATGGGAGAGCAGCACTATGCAACATGATACTTTGAGTAGGGGTGCCACTGAGCTGGGTAGAGGATGATGTTACAGTCACTGCCTGTTCTGACCCAGGGGAGGCTTCTCAGAAACTTTCCTTGGGCTTTGTGACCCCCTGGCCCTGGGAATAAAGGGGAAATATTCTCTGGCGGGGTGAGGTTTAGCCTTGGCACCCCATGCAAAAAGGAAAGAAAAAAGCACTTTAAACTAATCCTCAGCTGGTGACTGGGCCCTGTATTTTGAGGTGGAGGGATTGCAGGCATCCCAGGTGTCCTGCATCCATCAGTTCCTTTGCTGGGATGTTGCTCCAGGCCTGGGACGGGGCAGGCTGGATGGGGCCTGGGGTGACCTGAAGGTTGAGGCTGTCCCCTGAGAGCCACATATGCCACCAGCCTCCTGCCTGGCCTGGGGATGGGTGCTGGGCTGTGTTCCCCATGTCCAGGGCTGGGTTCCCAGGATGACACGAGAAGCCTGGCTGAGCCCTGACCTGGCTCCAGGGCCTCAGCCTGCTCCCAGCTGTTTAGTCCAGGAACACACAGATGTGCTGGGTTTGCTTGGGAGCCAAGCCCTCCCTGGCCCAGCCCTCACCATGCTTTCCCAGTCCCCTGCCATGGCAGGCCAGGCTGTCTGTTTGTCCTTCCCGTTGTCTGTGATGGGCCCCTGGAGCTTGGAGGTGTTTAGGTCTGTCTGGAGCAGTGCTTGTATCCCAGCACCTGCCTGAGCCTTGCTCCCTGCCACCTCCATCCGCCCAGCTCCTGCCAGCCCTGCTCTTGCCTAAGCGTCTTCTGCCACTTTGGCCATATCTGCACTATGCCAGGCTTGTGTCTGTGGTTTGTTGACGGTGAATAATAATAATAATAATAATAATGCACTTTAAATAACATGGCTTGTAGCCTTTGTCATAATAAAGTGGTAGCAAAGACCCTCCCCTGCTTGCTGGCCTCTGTTACCTTGGGCCTGTCCCCAAACTGTCCCCTGCCTGCTGGGCTCAGCCTGGCTGTCCCTGATGTGGCTCCCAGGGTCCAGGGGGAATCACAAGTGCCCCGGTGCTGCCAGCTGCCTGAATCACACTGGCTGAGGGTGGGAAGGGGGCAGAGGTGCGTGGTGGGGAGAGCAGGACATGATGTATGTGCAGCAGCAGCTGCACTGCCTCTAGCCCTGGCTCGCTACACCCTGCATCTCGCTCCGGGACCAGGAATTGCTGTTGTCAATGTGGTGCCTCCCTTGGTGCAGGCTGAGCCTGGGTGGGAGGAGAGGATCTGCCCAGGCTGCCAAGGTGAAGGCTGGGGAGTGTCAAACGCCATCATTCTGCCTTTATTTGATTATCTTCACATCTCATTCAAAGGAACAGACTTTTTAAAAATAAAGTGCCCAGTGGAGCCAGGCCTTTGGGTAGATAAATGCATATCTGTAACATTGTCTTACCACAACACAGCAAGTGAACAGGAGCTTTCCCTGGGCTGGAGGTAATCAGCAGGACTGGCACTTCATACAGAGAAGTAGCAAACTACAGACCACGTACCACGACACGCAGGACGTCACGCCCGCGGGAGCTTCCGTTTGTTTTTTTATACAAACCGATAGAATAAAAAAACCAGAGTGTAGTAGAATATCCAGCAACAAAAATGGTAGAAAGGATCTGTACCTGATCTTATGAAAGCAGCATCTCAGCAAGGTGCGGTGGCGGCATGCGCGGCGCCGGTGTGGAGTATTGCTTGGCAGCCCGGCGGTGCGGGGCCGGTGCTCGTGGCTCTGCGTGGCGCTGGCGAAGCGAGCAAAGCAGCGGGTCATCTACGCGGGCAGCACTAACAGGTGGCAGCAGCCGGGTGCCCCCGGCCAGAGGGAAGGTGGGTGACGAGCCTGGGGCTCCCCGACAGAGGCCAGGCAGGATTTGGCAGCTGTAGAGGCAGCAGCCTGCCTCTGGCGTGGGGGCTGTCAGCGTGTCCGGGGCGAGCGAGGCCGGGGCTCAGCGGATCGTGGCCGCACTCCGGGGGCCGGTCGGTGGCGGCTGTGGGGAGGAGGTGGCGCTCGGTCCGGTCCGGTCAGTCTGAAGGCGGGTGTTGGCAGTTCAGGTGTGCTCGGCCTTTTGGTCCCGCGATGCTCGCTCATTCCCGGGCGGCTCCCGGGGCTGCGGGGCTGTGTGCCCATCCCACCCCCAGCCCTGCTAGTCCCCTCTTGGC